AAGTGATCCGTACCTAACATGGAATCTGTTAGAGCCTTGGTCTTAGATTTCCCAACTCCCAGGATAGTGAGGAATGAATTTCTGTGATGCTGTGCAGCCTCTGAAATGTTGTTAAAATAGTCTGAATGGACTAGGCTATAAATAGAAAATCCACGAAGTCAATATAATATCAAATGGTAAATTCTTAAATTGTACTATTAACTGTGAGTCACAGTTGAATTAACTGTGATAGAAAAGATTCCCATAGTTTGGGAAGGTTTTGCTGTCAATTTATACTGAATTCTCATTAAGAGATACGGTGCTAAATTACGGATGAGAGCAAGAAAGAACGATTCCCAAAGGTAACTGCAATTAATTTGTAATAGAAGTTTAATTTAGGTCTACCCTCCAAGTGCTCTGGAACACGTGACTCTGAATTCTTTCCTAATTCCCTCTATGGTCTGCAAAAATATGACTTAACCATTTTGATGGCGAATGATGAGAAGGGAGGGGTAAAGAGGCCCTGAAGAAGGCAAGGGAGGGAAGAAAGATGAACACAGGAAGAAAAGAAATGTGGGTTTTCCTAACTAGGAAAATTTGGTTATTCAGTATTTGTGAAATGCATTATCACTTCAGAGACCTACAGTAACACTGTCTGAGAACTACTCTCTAACTCCCATCTTCTGGTGGGGGATTCATTATCATTACCATAAGCACAATGTACAATAAATTCTCAAATAAAATTAAACATTGGCTATTACCATATTTCAAAAGCATAACTTTACTGAAGAGCATGGTGACACATACCCATAGTCCCTGGCACTCCAGAGACAAAGAAAACAAGATTGAGAGTTTGAGGCCGCAGAGTAAAATTCTGCCTCCAGATAAATAGGTTTATTGATTGATTTCCTTTGTCACCTCCTAACAAAAAAGATATTGCAGCATCTGGATTTGATAATCTGGTGTGTGGGCAGAGGCTATGTCCAAATGCTCTCCTATCAAATAATCTAACTGCCACAATCCAGCGTGTGACACAGATAAGCAAGCACTCGCCGGGTGGCTAAGAACAGAAGAGCATTGCCTAGGGAGAGGAATAGCAATGAGGCAATTGCAAACAGATTCTGGGCAACCTCCATGAAGTCAGTCCAGCACTTTGCAAAGAAAATGCACCATATGTTAAAGAGGAGGCTGTATTCAAGTCATGCCTTATGCGTGGCGGATGAAATGACAATGGTGAGTTTCAGTATGTTCTTGAAGGAGCAAGCCTTGTGTCTCCTATGGGGCATGCCCAGCCTGTGTGGCTCAGTCTCACCTCTGTCACCATGGACACCCCAAAGTGACAATGCTTGAACCCCATGCTGCTGTCTCTCTTCAGCTGCCACGCATCAACATTTTACTACGTTTTTCTCCAAAACATATTCAAGCAAAAAATTTTAAGATACCTGGAGAAGCTTAACAACTTGTTTTGATGGACAAATTAGAAAAACAAAAAACAAAACTGGAATGGCTAATGGGAAATACTTGTATTCTTCTGCCAACTGCAGAAGGAACGGCCCGGCTTACAGATCTGCTCACCCACACCATTTGCCAACATGCAGTACACACCGTGCTCTAACTTCCACTCTGGAGAAACGACAAAAGGATGCGATGGTGGAAAATCCCTGACTTTTTGTCTGGCTGGCTTCTCACTCCTAGAAAGGCATTAAAGCCCTTACACTGGAAATTACTGCATGTGGAAGGAATGTCAGGAGATGGACCTCCGTGATCCCTCGGCCTCTGTAGTACAGAGTGCTCTGCTCACAGTACACACTCTGATGTACAAAACTACTTTGCATTCAACCAGACAATGGATGTGTTCATTAAGTAGAATTTTGTCCGAATTTTATGCTGGTACATGCAGTTTTTGCCCTACACAATCTATTCCTATAAGCATGCAGCTTATTGACTTACATTTAAATGTTTTCTGTCAGTTTCATGCACACAAAGCACAGTGATAAAGCGTTGATACAGGACAACACAGCTTATCATTTGAGGAAGAGGGTTATCAGGGGATGTGGCAGGCCCTTCAGATACAAAGACAATGGTTTGTCCTAAAGAGAGTCACAGGACTCGGAAGGCAGTGGGGTACCCTTCCTCTTGTTTTTGTGGTTTGTTGATCTTGTTCTGTTCACTGACCCCTTGTGGTTCTGATGAACACTGTAGTACTCCACCCGTCAATACCAAGAAAACGCATGCGCTGGATTCTACATTCTATCATCATGTGATTGTACGTGTGCATGCATGTGTGGTGGTGGTGGTGGTGGTGGTGGTGTGTGTGTGTGTGTGTGTGTGTATGTGTGTGTGTGTGTGTGTGATTACAGAGAAGGATCAAAGGTTGCACGTATCCCTGAGGTCAGAAAACAGGTCAGCATTCTTTACTCATGGAATCCTTGTAAGGCCGCATCCCCCACACTCCAGTGCCCAGGGGGCTGTACAGTGAGCACAGAAGCAGTTACTCCCGAGAGAACACTCCAGTGCCCAGGGGGCTGTACAGTGAGCACAGAAGCAGTTACTCCCGAGAGAACACTCCAGTGCCCAGGGGGCTGTACAGTGAGCACAGAAGCAGTTACTCCCGAGAGAACACTCCAGTGCCCAGGGGGCTGTACAGTGAGCACAGAAGCAGTTACTCCCGAGAGAACACTCCAGTGCCCAGGGGGCTGTACAGTGAGCACAGAAGCAGTTACTCCCGAGAGAACACTGCAGTGCCCAGGGGGCTGTACAGTGAGCACAGAAGCAGTTACTCCCGAGAGAACACTGCAGTGCCCAGAGGGCTGTACAGTGAGCACAGAAGCAGTTACTCCCAAGAGAACACTGCAGTGCCCAAAGGGCTGTACAGTGAGCACAGAAGCAGTTACTCCCGAGAGAACACTGCAGTGCCCAGAGGGCTGTACAGTGAGCACAGAAGCAGTTACTCCGGAGAGACGAACCTTCGTGTCATGCAGTTCAGAGCTTTTGTAGAGTAACCATTCCATCTTCCCCATCTTCTTCTCCAAAGAGGAGGAGTTGGAAAGACAGGACCTCGTTCTCAGAAAGCAATAACTCTTCCCCGAGGGGAAGTGGGAGGCCCGATGTGATTAGCCTGAGAACATAAAGAAGGGCCCCAGAGGATCAGCCTCTACCGTCTCACGAAGGATTTGCTCTTGTTCCAAGGTATGTTCCCCATTCATCATCCTCAACACAGGTTGCCAGGAATCTCTATTCAGTAAGTCCGCACTGTGCCAAAACGTGAATTCTAAATATATTTACAGATCACAGTTTCCTCCCCCAAGTAATGCCTTCAGTTCCAGCAACAGCAGTCCCAAGACACAGTTGAGACAAAGATAAGGACATTTTGTGCTTCTTTATACGAAGTCCAGGAGGAGGCCCAGGGAGGAGTGGATTTGGGAGCTCAACACGTGTGATGCACTTAGTCTTTGTGCTCTTTGGGATATGTTTCCAGGAAAATATGTTTTTGTCTTTCCACAATGTCAGGATTGACTGGATAGCAATCCATTCACAGAATACAGCAGTTTCAGTGGCAACCACTTGTCAGATAATCATACCTAATTTGGTAAGCTGGATGAGGCAAATATAGGTTCTTTGATATCAGTCTTAATTGCTAATATTACCTCTCAAACAGTAACTATAGTGTGTGTGTATGTGTTGTTACAGAATGCATGCAAGGTTAAACATCTACAGCATAATCAAGAGATCTCATAAGTAGAGTCTGTATTGGTGAGATAATGAACCCAAAACCAGCCGCAGGTAGGTAGTCAAATGGGACCAAGACAAACCCAAGCACCTAGGACATTGAAGAGTTTTCTGCCAGATTATCTCTGATAGACAGGCCAGGTTTCAGGTCATAGGTCAATGTGGGGCTCTCGTCCTCCGTGAGTTTTATGTCAACCACTTTATGGAGTTCGGGTGAAAGAATTACACCCATTCCTTGATCTGGTGTGTCCAATGAGTTCTTGGGCCTGGCTTCCCTGATATGACTTTAATATGCTCTTGGACACCTCTTAGTTTCAATTCACCCTGATGAATTTATAAGGGAGGGTCTCCTTTTCTCTTCACTGGAGTCTTTATCATTTGGTGCCGTGTGGGTAGTGCTGGACAGATGGTGATGTTTTGGGTTCCACCTCGGAATGCAATCATCTTCCATCCTCAAAACGGATCCAAAAGCTGCTAATAAGATGGACTCTTCCCGGGCGAGGCATGCCCTGAAGAACCACCGTGTTACACGTCGCGGTGTGATTGAGAACAGGCATGGAGTGCTGGACAATAAACACGAACAAAACAGCTGCAGTACAGAAGCTGCCGGGGTATATGAAGATTCGGAACTGAGTCCAGCCGTGAGGAGAAAGGCAGAGCAGCCCTCTATCCAGAGCTGGAACGAGTAGACAGATGGATGGGTCATCCAAACTGGTGACCAGGAAGACAGATAGATGGCAGCTGAGTAGGACCAGGCCACGCTGAAGCCCCTGAGACTTCTTCTGCCTGTTGAGCCATGCATATCACGTGTGGGGTGACAGGTGGTGGAGGAGCATTGCCGTCCTAGAGATGAGTGTAGATCTCCGAGGGGTTCAAGTGAGGGAACTGCGTCCTTCCCTAGGTTCCGGTGTGTTCGATAGGTTCCTGCAGCTGGTTTCTCTGGTGTTGTTTTAAATAAGCCCACGTGTGCCTAGAGCCTCGAGTCATCCCAACAAATTATCCTGGGAAAGTATTTGCCAGAGGTTTTGTGCCAAGTGTTCCTTGAGAATACTTCAGGGCCCTTTGGAAGAATGGAGGAGATAAGGAAAATGAAGGGAGACGTGACAAAAAAAGTCTCGCAGTGAGCAAGCTGGCATACGATCAGGTGTTTTCTATGTAGTCCGCAGTTCCAGGGCAGGTGCAGCTCACCCACCCACGTGGACCTCGGCCTCTCAGGTGCCAATGCTGGCTGTTCAACCGCCTCCAGTCCCACGTAAATTAGGTTTTGCTTCCAACCGTGGCAGCGTAGCAGTGTAGTGCTCTTCTGTCCTCGTCCTCTGGCTTCTATGTCGGTGACTACTGTCGAAATGCTCGAGACAACTGCTGCCCCACAGAAGAAAGTAAGCTTCCCACCAGTGTGTCAAAGGACAGACGTCAGCGGCCACTGACTCTGACATGGATGGCAAGGTTCGTGTAGATGGCAGTTTATTGCTAGTGGCCCCTGCTCGTGCACTGAGGGTCCCTTGTCTGTCCCCTTGAGCCCCAAGCCTGACAGTCTCTTGGCCAGTGTGGCCCCCTCAGTTGTCCCCACCTCTGACCTCTTGGTGGCATTAGTTGCAAGCGTCTCAGACGCCTCTGCCGGTGTGATTTCAAAAGTCTAATCAGCCCATGATATTCTTTCTTCTATTTCCCTCCTCATCCACAGCACTTTTCCCTTTCCCCAAGTTCCCATGAGACAGACCAACCCTGAAGAACATTATCAGTGAGCACAAACGGGGTGGCTCCTGTGTCCTTGGGCTCACCTATGTCCGTTTGGGCCAACCAAGCACATAGAAGGACCAGCGTGTCTAGCCCCACTCTTAGGATGAGCAGCAACCTGGGCTATCCTGTCACCTAAGGGTCGGTGGTATGAGGAATGAGGAAGCCTACACTAACTATATAACCTTACTGCGTGGAAAGGGAGACGGGTAAAGGTATGGCAGGAAGCCAGGCCAAGCCAAATCACCTTTACCCCTCCACCAAGGCTTCTCTAAGGCTGCGTGTGTGTGTGTGTGTGTGTGTGTGTGTGTGTGTGTGTGTTCGTGCGTGTGAATTCACATTTCTTGAACAACTGTGGATAGTCTCTGCTGTGTTGTGTCTCAGCTTCCTTGTGTAAGAGGCTTGTCTGAAGACATCTCTGAGATTTTTATACCATGTGGCCGCTCAGAATATATTCTTTGGTGCTCCTATAGTATGTGAGTACAAGAATTTGTGCTTTTCTATCTGACACAGCATAGAAAGCTGTATGTAATCATTTTGTCACCATACTATAGTTAAAGTACAACATGGTGCCCACACAGCTATTGTCAATGTAAGTGTCCCATGGCATTGTGTGTCCTTGGAATTGCATTGTGCGTCCTTGCAATGGCACACGGAGTGTCCAGTTGTGTAGCACTGCTTCCTTTCAGACTGCCTTGGCGGGGTTGGGGATCTAGTGCAGTGGTAGAACACTTGCCTAGCAAGCGCAAGGCCCTGGGTTCGGTCCTCAGCTCTGGAAAAAAAAAAGACAAAATAACAGACCGCCTTGCCCTCTCTGCCATTCTTCTCCCCTTCCTCCTGACCTCTTACCATCTGGTTTTAACCGGTTTTCTCCTCTCGAGTTTATAATTTCTAATGTGCCTCTGTATTTATTTTCTTGCTTCCTATCAGTTTTTCTTCACTAACTGCATATCCTTAGACCTCCAGAATGTAAATGTGTCATCTGGGTTTCAGGGTGCTCAACGTGTAGGATCCTGTAACTCCCATGCAGTACCATCCATTATGCTATGACTTTGTGAAAGCTGAACAGGAAACAACTTAATTGTTTTATTATTAATTAATTATATGGCCAAGCAACAAGAGGACCGAGGAGATAATAGAAAATTCTAGCACAAACAATTTGACTGAATTCTAATAAAGTCTGAGAGAAAAGGCATCGTTTTGCCTTTTACAGAAATCTTGGTAGTAGAAGACATGACATGATTCTATTGTCAGAATGGCAGGGAAGGGGCCGTGGGCGGGGAAGGGGTGATTGACAGCTCTGGAAAGCTCATTTCTTTGCCGTTGTTTTCCTCTTGGTCTCCTCCCCGAATGCCCCTGCCTTCCTGAACCTCATTCTGGTCTGCTTGCAGAACAGAGCTGGAAGTGGGGTGTGAGTGAAGGAGGGGTGGGCTGAGAACAGGATTGGGGGTCACTTGTTTTTTCACATTGGGAAGCTCATGATTGGCTTTAAGAGATGAGGGATGAAGTCCGAGAGTGGGTCCTCTTATATCTCATTACCGAGCTGGACCTAGCTTGTCACTCTACTCTGGACATGCACACTCCACTCTTGGCTGCAATGAATGCTTGCTCTGCAGCCACACCCCCTCCCCAATTCAGCGCTTCTGAGATAGAGCTCCATGTCCTCCCATGTGTTCCTCCAATCCTTCTTCCCTCAGCACACGGTACCTCCATTCAGTCAGCTGCTCAGGCTAAAAGTGTACAAGCTCTGCTGCTACTAGGACATAGTTCTGGACCCTTGGGTGTCTTGAACTAGAGCTTTAGATCTCTCAGTCCTGAGACCCTGAGGCATGTGCCACGGTTGTGTCATCACTGGGAGAAGCTGAGCAAGGGGACCGTTAGTGTCCTCCACACTCCATCCAATTCTTTTGTAAATCTGGATTTATTTCTAAGTAAATGTTTAAAATATAAAGGCCACCAAATTGTTGTGCCATCTAATACCTCCCAGTTCCTTCACCCTTCTCTTGAAGTCGCCTTTAATCCATTATCTTGCCTTCCAGGACCCATAGTTTTCTAGCCCAAGGTGATTCCCAGACTTTTCTCCCACTCTGCCTGAAAACCCCTCCAGCCCCTGGCTCCCTCCCCTCCTGCAGACCCTGATTCTGGCTCCCCCACATCTTCTCAGTGTCCCTCCTTGGTAAAGGCTCCACTGATAGCATGACTTCCTGGCTCCATCTCTCTCCTTCAGTCTTGATGTTATCTGCAAGGGGCTTTTTACCCACTCCATAGGTTACCTGATTTTTTCATAAAGTGTGAGTTCTGTGAGGGTTGGGGCTGTACCTTAGCTCTCTCTAGTCCTCATACCCAGAAAGTCCCCAGGATTTGGTAATTGTTGTAACTACATTTGCTGAACACGAGTAGCCAGTGCTAAGCGATACTCATATTCAACCTGTATTAATTTCTTTATATTATGAGCAGGTCTCTTATTCATCATTCAGTGCCTACCCAGGATGAGACAAGAGGGCGCCTCCCCCAAAGACACCAAATTCTGAGGATGCTCAAGTCCCTTGTAGGAGTGGCGCAGTATTTATATATCATCTGTACATATCCTCCCTCATACTGGAAAAGTCATCTGTGGATTAATAATACCTCCTACACTGTAAGTGCTGTGTAAATAGACAGCATACTGTGTTGTTTATGTAAAGACAACAAGAAAAATGTCTGTATGTATTCAGACATGTTTTTCCTCTCTTTCACATATTTTGATCTATAATTAGATGAATCTAAGGATGAAAACCTGCAGACACATAGGACTCTCTGTAAGATAATGTAAAAAATAATCAAAGTTACCACCTGGCCTTTTTAACACAAAGTAATGTACTGTTTCTATACATATTGCTTCTCAATCCTTAAGAAAGGCATTTCTTTCTGTACATGCACAGTAATCCCTCACACCACAGTCATAAACAGAACCCCAACGTACAAAAGAATTGTGTATTCAGTATCTCAGAAGAGTAAATGGAGTTAGCCTGTCCCTAAAGAGTCGGGTGAAATTTCCTTCTTTCTTTGTTCTCCATTTGAATATTTTACAGTTGGAGGAAAACATTATGGACTATGAAGTGCAGAGTTATTACAGACACGGGTGAGTTAGCATGCCATTGGAGCCCATTCATAACGCTATTTAATTGGATTCCAAAGTAATCAAAAAATAAAAAAAGAACTACCTCATCACTAGGCGCTTGAACTGTTGCTCTGTAGCTCACTGGCTTGATTGGACAGAACCCAAGCTGTCTGTGAATGGCACGGAGTCTCAGACTTTCCCAGCCAGCACAGCATCCTGAGGAGAGGCCATGGGAGCCAGCCTTGTCCCACAGGAGGAACAGAAGACCCTATGTGCTCAGGCCAGCTGTTGCCTTCCCCTGGCGTTTCTTCAGACCCAGGACACTGCGCAGCAGAACTGACCGACCTCATGAACTTGGCCTACGTTTTTGCCAAAAGAAATGGTCTTTCTTACAGCGCTTTATTCTGACAGCATTTAAGACCTCAGAAAATCGGAAAGACTTTCCATGTCGACACTGATCCTTCTGTGGTGGTGTCTGCACACACACTCGGGGATGTTTTCTGTGCTGCTGGGAAGCAAGCTAGAAATTTCTGAATGTATTTCATTACAGGGGCAGTGGATTATATAACCACGGTCAGATTATCAAAATTAGGAAATAAGCATCGATTCTACCCTGATCTAATGTACAGACTTTGCTCGGGTTTCACAAAATTGTACCAAGGGAGGAAAATCCCAGCTCGTGTGTTGCATTCAGTTGCTGCATCCTACATCCTCTCCTCCTCCTCCCTTCTCCTCCTCTCCTCAGGGATGGCCTCTAGTCCTTCCTTTTGTCTTGTGGCTAGGATGCTATTCTTGTTGGCTTTTGCTTCCATTGTGCAAAGCACTAGGTTTCACATAAACACATAGTGTACTCAGACGTACTCCCCCCTTTTCCCTTCCCCCTCCCCCCATTTATTCCCTTTGTTCCGTCAGAACGTTCCACTCCTACTTTCACGTCTTATAATTATACCTCATTTTCTGTGTCTGTATGAAACTTAGGAGTGGCATCATCTGTGAGGAGACATATGCATCTGTCTTTCTGAGACTAGCTTGATTCCTTCATTATGATTATCTCCCATTGCATCCACTTTCTTCCAAACAACATAACTTCATCTTTTATGTAGCTGGAAACTGTCCATACATTTGTGTGTGTGTGTGTGTAGATGTGTGTATAGATAGATGATACATAGACAGATAGACAGATAATTACATTTTCTTTATGCCTCCCTTTGTTTTTAGATACCAGCTTGTTTTTATGCCTTAGCTATTATAAACACTGCTAGAATAAAGGCAGTGATATTTTTGACAATTACAATCCAATTATTGTATTACATGCCCTTCAGTTTGGCTTTGTCTGGTCTTTCTGCATTCTGAACCGCCGTTTTGCATTTTTTGTTGTTGTTGTTGTTGAGAATGTTGAGAAAATGAGACAGCATCCTTGTCCCAGGCCTCACGGTTTCAGGTTGTCATTTTTCCAGCAGTGGCAACTTGAATCACTTGGTCAAAAATGCGGATGCAGGGTTTCCCACTGCAGAGAGTGTTTATTTCTTCAGATAGAAAACAGAACATCCAAATATCATAATCTCCCTTCAGAAGTTAATCCTCTTCAGTAGCCTTGTAGTTTAAGGAAATTCAATAGGAAACATAAGCAACCAAAGAAAGTGGAGGACTTGGGGTTTAAAGGGTAGACTGACCCTCATAAATATATAAAAACTCTAGCTGGTGCCAGCAACTCCATACACATAGATGGTTTTGTGTGTACTTTCTTCTCTCTTCCCTGATTCCAAAGCAACTGAAACCTTGAAAGGTCTACCTACAAAGAAGATCACAAGTTAGCATGCTTTTAAATAGAAAAGCAAAACTTCCTCTTAAATTGCTACTATCGGAATTCCTGGAATCTTTTCTTTAGACAATGTTTCTTTACCCCTTAGTTTTAGCTGCTTTTCCATTGTTAGGTCCATACAGCTGCGCAGGCTGAAGGCCTCAGTGGAGTTGAGATCAGGGTGTCTGAAGTGTGTGCCTTTTAGTGTACAGAGAACAGCAGCCACAGCAGGGCAGCATGTGTCCAACCCTCTGCCCTCTGTAACTGACTCCCGCTGACCCCAAGGATCTAACTCCTGGCCTACAGGAGGCCGGTGCCTGATGTTGAAGGTGGGAGCTTCAGCTTCCGGGAAACATCCTGTTTTTCATTCTAGTCATTCCATAAGGAGTCAGCACATTAAACTGCACGCTACACATGACTTTTCATTCCAAGCATGTCAACTCTGAGCCAATGGCCTTGCAGGCACACTCTAGGATGGGACACTTGTTTGTCCCTGAACTTCAGCTAAACAAAAGTAGGTGAAAACGTTTGTATGCGTTGTTCATGTAAAACCTGAATGTCTCTACAAGTTCATGTGGAACTCCGTCTTCACGTCTTCGTGATTTGCTAAGTCTGGCCTTACAGGCTTATACCGAGAGAAGGCTGGGTTTCTCCAGAACCACTGTGGCTTGATTTCACCGCTCTTCTGGTCTGCTTCATTCGGGTCACAAGGAAACTCAGAACCTCCTTGGTCCCTGTAGGGTGCAACAGTATAGATTTTACTCTGTGAGGCTCGAGGCCCACACGCCAGTTCACGTTCATTTTTTTATTGCCATTTCACCACCTGTGCAAGCAAGAGCAGTGCTTTTTTTAATCATAATTGCCCAAGTATTCCTCCATTATCTCCTCTCCCTTCGCACTGAGGCATGGGATTTCTGAAAACAGTCAGAGGCACATCACTTATGCCCAGAGAAGGAAAGGAATTTTAACACTGGTAATGACTTCTCTACTCGCATGTTCTCCTTAACGTCTGCAGGCTATTTATGGATCAGATCCTGGGTTTAAATCTTACGTTGAACTTTGAGTGAGAAATCCCCAGGTCGGTCTTCAGTGGCACGTGCCTCAAATGATCGTAAGGCCTGAATGGAGGCTAAACAAGAACCCAACAACGACAGTATAAATAGACATTCCAACATGGAAGGGGGGAAAATCCCCAAAGGGCCCCACCCTTACACAAACTGCAGGTAGCTAATGGCTGCTAAGAGCTATCCAGTACAGCGTGCTCAGTCCTAACATATACACAAAGAAGCAAAACAAACTCAGCATGTTGTGTTTATATGTTTGTGTATCTATCTTTGTGTGTGTGTGTGTGTGTGTAACAACAAAGAAAAAGAGGCCACCAAGTTGAGGGAGAGTCAATGGAAATGTTTTATTTATATTTTCATTAAAATATCGTCAAGATAATAATGACGCATCTTGACAGAAGTCCTTCCTCAGATGCCTGGTTTTCTTGTGTTTCCTCACAGCCTGCGGTCTGTCTCTTGTCCTCTCATCAAAGCCTCTTTCCTAGAGAAGAGGTTCTTACTTCACGACATCTTACCTGCCAGTTGTGTTTGGTGGATCCTGCCTTTGCTTTCACAGAGATCTCTGCCTGCTTTTGCTTTCCCAGAGATCTCTGCCTAACTCAGCAGCATGAACATTTCCTTCTTAGCTCTATTCTGTCTCAGAGTTTTCAACTGTTATTTCGGCCTGTGAGCCATTGGCACTATCCTGTTATATAGATACTCACAAGTTCCAGCACAATTTTATTAAAGAAAGCTCTGCTTTAAAAACAAAACCCCTAAGGGCACAACTCTCTTTCAAATTTTTTTTGTGCTGCTATTTCTGTTGAAGCAAATTTCCCTTTTGTGTACCCCTAAATAGATATGTATGCATCATCTCTGTTGAAATCACAGTAGGCTGGTTCCTGGTGTTGATGTGCCATGCCTATGATGGCTTGAGAGAAAAGGTGGCTCTATGATTAGCAATTGTTCAAGTTAAATCTGAATGAAAGCAAGAGTCTCCTGTAGAAGACCCCAGCTTGCCTGTCTTAAGTACCTGGGACATGGTCCTTGGAGGACTTGTCCTTGTAAAGCCCTTTCCACACTGTGTGAAGCACTGGCCTCCCAAATCCTGAGCCAGAATGACAACTCGGGCAGAAGGATGCCCATAACTCACCCTCATCCATGTCATTCATACCTATAGGCTGCGTAGTTAGTGAGATGCACCTCCCCTTTCAGAGGCTGGGGTGTGAAAGGGTGGAGTTAATGGGCTGGTTTTTCTTGCAGTAGTAACCACAGTCAGCAACATCCAAGGGCCTTAAAACAGTTCCTGCTATCAAAAAACACTAATCCAAACCGGTTTATAAAACCACTCCAGATTAACAAATCAATGATGCTTACACATCATGAAAATAGGCTAACACTTAAAGGCTTTGTCCTGACTACACTTAGAGCTCCGTAAACTCCATCCTTGTGATGTTTAGATGGAAGGCAAGCAGGGGTGCCTCTTCTCATCTACGCAGCCTAGAGAGGAAACGGTTCTTTTAGGGATGATGCCTAGCAGCCAGTGCTCGCACAGAGGCAGCTAGACAGGACAGTAGGCTGGCCCCTAAGTTCCCACTAATATGTAGTTTAAACAACTGTACAAGAGATATCATAAGGGTGACTTCAAAGGGTCATTATGTTTCAAGAGGAACTTTCAGAAATAGAAAGATGTGGTTTTCCCACTTCTCCTGTGATAAGGTTGCTCCAAATAAAAATTATGCTCCAGACAACTTCATCACTCCCACATGGTTAAGAATGGTACCGGATGAACCAGAGCGTTAGTCGCTAGTGGTCATCTCTATGAGGCCTTACAATCTGTTCATGCCAGTCCTGGTTGACAACTGCTCCTGAGTATTCAAGAGGCTCATGGCACTGAAGTCTGCCCTGGGGATTTCTCAAAGTAGAGCAAAAAAATTTTAATCCCAGAGCCTGATCCAGAAATAGTCCATAGACATTAAGAAGAACATGTGAGTAGAGAAATATTAAAATTCCTTGTCTTCCCTGGCTATAAGTGATGTCTCTGTCTATTCTCAGAGATCCCATGCCTCAACACAAAGAGAGGTGTAATAATAGAGGAATACTTGAACAATCTAAATTCAAAAAAAATCCCACAAAACCCCAATACTGCTCGTGTTTGCATAAGGTCCGATAGCAGTCCTGAAAATCTGTGGTGCAGCACTGAGCCACAATCCTGCCTCTTTTCTCAAGTGCAAGGAGCCTAACACTACATCTATGAATCTAACACATCAACAGAGCCTTACCGGGGATGTGTGCCACCTACAGTAGAACGTTTTCCCTGAGCTCTCAGTGAGCATCTAACAGGAGTTCTGTGCCATCGCACAGTAAGAAAGACATTCTAGTGCTTAAAATTCACACATAGAAGCTCCTCCCCACACACCACCCAGAAAGGAATGCAAATGCAGATCAACTGGAAAAAGGAAGGCCTGTGAATATTGCCAAATGAAGGGGCAGTTAGCCCAGTGGCCCCATCTACAGCCTCCATGTTATAGCCTTTAAATAGGAGGCGATACACTAGGAATAGCATGCCAGTGCGCACAGAAGGCCCACCATGGCCGTCATCCTGTTGCTGTTGGTCACTGTGGCTCGGAACTCGGGAGGCCAAAGCTTCATGGAGCATGGAAGGTCCCTGTGAGGTCAAGTCCCCCAGTGGGCTTTTCTCCCGCCTTCCTCCCGATTATTCTTTGCATCTCAAATGTTGGAAGTGTCCAGTGTGATGGCTCAACCCTGTGATCCCGAGAGTTGGGGAAGAGGATGGGCCATAAGTTCAGGAGCGGCTGGAGCTGCATGGGAAGAAATGGAAAGGGAATCTAAACTGTTCTGCTGGAGCCCACTCTAAATAATAAAGCGGACTTCCCAAGGCCAGAGGAGCTGTGGTTCCTACTCTCCGAGCGGTCTGAAACCGTGCACTCTGGATGCAGTGACGAATAAGACTCTGTCGGCAGAGGGGCCCCTGCTGGTCCATTGCCCAATTCATTTTCATGGTGTGATAGTGTGATTTTGATGTGATGGGAAAAATCACTTCAAGGAGACCAGCCCTGATGCTGCTGGACATACCTTAGATGTAATGTTTGCTGTTGGGTGGTTTGGGGTGTCTACCAGAGAGAGAAATCCTAAATGAGGGTGGGTGTAGACTATCCAAAGTGTGGAAAAGAATTGCGTCTCCACGTGGACGGCTACAATTCACCTCAAATCCACTTCAGCACATACTCCTTGGACAGTTTCTACCCAGTGAGAAAGCTGCTCCCAGTAAACCATGCAATTCTAGACGTTATGTCCTTTTATCTTGGGTGGCCAAGTATAATTGGCATATGCGAAAAGATCTTTTATCTTTAACAACAGCCCAACCATTGGGCTCACTTTTCTAACTTGGCAAGTAAGGATTGAAATGGAAGAATAAATATTATATTAGCTAGTCTGAGAGAGTAGGCTGTAGATGGAGGTTCTGTCCTGCCCTGTCGCACAGCCATAGGGACATCCTCCATCAATAGACCCTCCTGCTTCCTACACTACGTTCAGTCTCTGATTGCCCAGCACCAGCACACCCAGAGCATGTAGGTGTTTTGTGAGTCACCAGCTACGAGTGAGAAAGTTGGGCTCAGGTGTCCTGTGTGCCTGGGAAACTAGAAAGACAGGCTGGCTTGAGCACAGACATTTTTCATAATTACATTGCCTACAGGGTTGCCACCTGTCCTAATCTGATGTGATTAGGGTGAAATACAAAAACTGTCCTCATTTCTCCTGGCATGAAGTGGAGCCAAGATGCACCACAGGGAAGAAGAGGTGAATACGTACGTAACTGTGGCAGTGTAGGGACCCTGCAGCTTTGGTGTCAGGGAGGTAGGACCCCGACTCACTGTTCCAGGAGTCTGGAAGTTATCAGTTCTGAAGGGTTTTAGCAGAGTATGTTA